CTAGGCCCGAAACGTCAACCTTCCTGCTCCTCTGATGCTGCTTGGCCTGCTGTGTTCATCCAGCTCTACACCTTGTTATCTCAACATGTAATGCAAACCAGGTAAGAGACACCTGTGAATCAGTTGAGTTCTAACTGTCTGTAAATATATCCATGGTCTTTTGGAGTGTTTTGATGGGTCATGAACTAATAGGGGACCAGGCTATCATCCATCCCACCGAGTAGCTTTATCTGAAAGACGGCATGTGCTAGTGTAGCAGTGCACAAAGCATTAGCCTGCATTATGTACTTCAGACTTAGAAAAGGCTTTGAACCTGTTGAACGTTAGGGTCCCTTAATCTTCCTAGCCCCATTTTATGTAGTATGAGATGTCTCCAGCACTAATCAACTTTCCAACATTATAGTAGATGAAAACAAAAGAATTATGGGAAACACAAAGGTCATGATGCCCATTCAATTTATCTGGTGCTAAATGCACCCTGTTATTGGTGTACTATTTTCAAAAGCAAGAAGTATTTGTTCTTAGTATAGTAAACTAACTCTCAGATGAATGTGTGCAAGCGGGCAGTGATCATCCAACGTCATGAGTTGGTGTCCCTTGGCCAAAATGGTTCAGACAATTGATTCACACAGAGACAATAAACTGCCCTAGACGTATGATATAGCAATAAGTGATCAGTGCAGAGGGGTGCTCTTTGGGGAGTATTTCCAGAGAGTAACTTCAAATAGTCTTCACCAGGCTGATGGAAAACTGATCAGAAGGAGGAGGAAGACGACGCAGGGAAGAGTTCCCTTACACCACACCTGGAGAGCACAATGTTGTCCCCCAGAACTTTTAACAAGATGGAAACATTCTGCCTGACAGCCTGCCTGTCCTCTGGTATCAGTGAACCATCTCCAATTGTCACGGTTGTGTACTTTCTTTATTTAATTAACTAATGTATCATAACTAACTTGCTGTTTAAGAAACTCAAACTATTAGTAAATTGCAATAAATCATGACTGCCTGTATTAGGTAACTTTGATCATGAACCCTTAAAATCAACAAACCCTCAAGCATCTGATTCACAAACAACTTAGCCAACGTGCTATTAAACTTAATATTAATTATTTCTTCGGATTTAAATAACAGAGGCAAACCCCAAGCTGGGCACTTTGAAAAGGCAATGAAACAAATGACATTGTAAAATAATGACGAAAGCAGCAGTAGAAAAGTTATAGCAAAAACCTAGTATTGGCTCATTGGTATTTTACAAGAATGATAAAACAAGAGTGAGCCTTCAGCCCCTCAAGCCTGTTCAACTATTGAGTCAGATCATGGTTGATTTGCACCTCACCTCAATTTTCCTGCTTTTTATCCAATCCTTAAATATTTTATCTATTAAAGTATTTTACTGTCAGATGTAATATTTTAAGTAAGCAATTTTAGGGGAGAGTAACAGATTTTCACAACTTTGTGGAAAAATTGCTTCATGATTTCACTCCTGAATGGTCTTACTGTAATTTTAAGATTGCATCCTCTTATTTGTGTTGACTGTATGCAATCTTTGTCATTTCAAAAGATCCTAAATTAGATCATCCTTCCAATTTCTGAACACTTAGTAATCAGCCAAAGTTTATGGAACTGGTCCTCATAATTTAACCCTGTGTAAGCCTAGTAAAATTCTCATGACCCTACGCTATAACAAAAGGATAGCTTGTAATTAGCCTTTTGATTACCCTTATATCTGTTGTGATGTAGACAGTGGGATTTATACAATAAATAATATTTTAAAATGTATATGTAAGTTTGGGTTTTGGGTTTTTGAGTTAGTAACTAGCATGTTTTCTGTATGTCTGAATTAACTAGTAAGTACTTCTATAGCCGTGGTGAGTTCTTTTATCCATCTGAGAGGACAAATGGGGCTGTGGATTAATCGTTTATCTGAAAGGCATTGAGGGTCGGTGAAAACCTGCTAAAAATGTTCATACAATCCTAGACCAATCTCATGCCTTTGACAATGAATGAATCAACCTGGGCAGCAACCAGTTAACAGATCAGAATAAAAATGATCTCCACATTATCCAATAGGTCAATAGAATTAGTCAATGAACAGCTCAGCAGTACAAACTGATCGCCCAGACATGACTACTGTTCCTTTAACTAACCTCAGCCATGAAGATAAGAATGCCCAAATTTCACAAAAGCCAGAGAAACTATCCTGGTATCCCTCGTTAAAAGTCATTCAGACAATGTGGGTGGCACTGGCTTGGCCAACACTTATTGCAGCATTCCCAGTTGCACTTGAGAAGGACTAAAGGTGGATAGTGTCAGCCTTAGCTGTAATATTCCCAATGGTCAAATAGTTTCCTTAAACTGGACTAAATTCTTTATTCATTTCTTATAATAAATGGAAAATTTAATATTACCATCAAGACTTATAGATATCCACTTGAATGTAAGACTGGTGATCATAAATCTAACAGAAATAAAAATGGCATAAAAATTAAAGAAACAAAATCTTCGTCACCATCTTATTCATGGGTTGTGCAAAACATTGGATTATTTGCCTGTGATGGATCAAAGTTTTACATCTTACAAAAAAAAACTACCAATTCACGTTGTATACCTCAACTGTTCAGGTTGTATGCTCTGTATAATAGGTACATTGAAGGATCACAAATATCAATTTTTCAAGTTGTTTCATGCAAACATGGTCTAATCAATAAAAAAACATTATCTAAAGCACTGAGCCAAGTTTTAAGCTTTTTTTAAAATTACTTTTATAATACAGGAAATGAGCCAGCTATCATGTACGCAGCAAGCTCCCAAAAACATGATAATTACTTTTGTTTCAATGATGTTAATCGTAGCCAAAAAAATTGGTCCACGTAGTAGGGATAACCTCCATGCTTTTCATTAATGTTGTCCTTTGGGAATCTTTTGCATCAGCCTGAGTGTGCAGACAGGGTCATCTCCTATACTGAAACATTCCGTCAATACAATACTGGAGTGTCAGCCTGGATTTTTGTGCCCAAGTCTCTTGAATAGGACTTAAACCCACAACCTTCCAATTCAAAGTTGAGATTACAACCAACAGACATACAGTTGAGATAATTTTGAATTTTTTCCATTATCAGCTTCATGCTTCTATTCCTGTTGCCAATATACTCTGCAACCAAAGTGAAATTACAACAACCAATTTGTACTTTGATTTATCAACAGTACTTGCTTATAAGTCTTCAGATAGTGGTAAATTCTTCAAAGTTTGCTATTGAGGTGCAATCACTAAAGGGGATACAAAAGGAATATGTCTCTTCTATTTACTGAAATGTGATGGCGTTTACGACCACTTCTCCATACACATTTGACCTTTTGTTAGTGCGCTTTGAATATCTATATTTTAAACAAAAGCAAACCACAGCAAAAACTGGAGATCTTAAATATAAACAAAAAGTGCTGGAGAAACTCAAAGGGCAGGCAGCTTCTGTAGGCAGAGAAGAAGAGTTAATGTTTTGACTCTAGCATGACTTCTTTGGAACTATTTGTATTTGAACTTGAGGTAATAAACATTTTAAATGTACAGTTTGGTTAGCAACTCAATAAAATCAAAGACTGGACTCCCAATGGCCAATTGAATGTTTTGTGCCACAGGCTAGCATGACTTGAAAACCGAATCGCTGCACTTAACACTCATGGCAAATTCACTAAGGCAAGTTTACTTGTGCATAAAGATAACTCATCAGTTCACAGGATACTTACCCAAAATAACTATTTCATGTCTGGAAGAGTCTGTCCCTCTATCCTTGTGCCCCTAACATTGTTCCGACTGGTTCGAGGGGGGTGGGGGTACAAGTAAATGATCGAGTGTTGTATGGTGGCTTTATAAATTATAAATAGATTAATTTATAAAGCATGAAGCAATATCTATTTGCACAGTCTGACGTGCTATAAGTTAGAGAACAACAATTCCAATGGGTCAGGTGCGGGGAATTTGATAGAATAAACTTGTATAATTTATCTGGCTCATATTCTCGTTAATATTTTAACTTGAAAATTCTCTTGACCGATAATTGGCATATATGCACCGTCTAGCTGTTCTAGGAACAAGCAAAAAAAAACCCTGAACACCCAAGTCCTTTACTTCGTATTCTAAACGGATCAAATGTACGTTGAAAACCTGAACAAGGACTTACTGGTATCTTACCTGCGTTTGCTGGTGGTTGCAAATTGTTGAATCCAACGAGCTCCCCGACCAGTCTGTTCACTGAGCCTATCTCGCGGAATGGAGATGCGCCCACTGACTCTGCTCTCATTGCCCTGTCTCCTAAGGACAGCTTTGAGCTTTCCGGGTTACTAAGTCGCAATATTCCATTTACCGACCACGCCAGGCCGCTTCACCAACACATTCCTGCCGCTGCTGCTGCTGCTGCTGCTGGACTGGGGCCCGGGACCAGCCCGGACGAGTGTCCTCCAATCACTTGGGAAAGAAGGCGGGGCAGTCCGCTTCAGCCAATCATAGCGCCGACTGGCGATACTGTCCCCGCCCCCCGGAACTAGAAACAGACCAATGGAAAGGCAGACAGAAAAAGAGAAACAAAGAAGCGTGGACCCTGGAAATCAGAAACCAGAAGAGAAAGTACTGGAAAAAACACAGCAGGTCGGACAGCAACTGGCACTTCTGAACAAGGGTCACAGCACGAGAAACATTAACTCTGTTTTTCTCTCCACAGATACTCCCAGACCTGCCGAGTTTGTCCAGCAGTTCCCGTTTTTGTGCCAGAGACAGAAGGTCGTGAAGCAAGAACGGCCGCGGAGTCAGGCTGGCTCGAATTCAGTTCCCATCCTACCCCTACCCCCCCCCGCACACATCCAGACCCACCCCACCCCACCCCCACACACACACACACATCCAGACCCACCACCCCCCCACACACACACACA